GATCTGCATTCCAATGACCTGTACCTCCAAAGCAGTTCTGTGTTTTGCTACACTCTTATGGTTTCTCATCGCAACACAGTATGGCAAAATGGCATGTCATTCAGTTGTCATGGCAACAAGGATGCATCCCACCCCCCATCGCCACAGATACTCTCCTCTTTTTGAATCTCCTTTCCGGAGATGAAAATATTACCAGAATTTGGGTAGCAAAACTGTTCACAAAATTCACCCCAAACTGAATTGTTTTTTACATCTTTCTCCAGTGACCCACTGATGTCCCACTTTGTCTCGTATCTGTGCACAAAAGGAGTCTTGTTCTGAGATGTGATGCCTTTGAATCCCCCCCCCCTTAAAGCTATATATAAGATTGTATGTCCTTCATATATTAAGGTATAAGGCTATTCAGGAGGTACTTCAAACCTCCTTTTTTCCCCTTCGTGGAACATATTATCATAGATGAAAAAAGCAAGTTAAGTATTACATGTGGATAATATATTTTCACTTTCAAGGGGAGGAGGGAGAGACCAAAGTTGGGGCCAAGGTGGATGGAAGTATTTATTAAAATGGGCCAGATTCCTTCAAGAAGTAGGGGCTAAAACACATTTTAAAATGTGGCATGCTTTCTGGACAATCACCAGCATGCTTGTAAAGGCATCAGTTGCATTATTTTTACTCGTAACAAAAAAAAACCCCATCATTTCCAACAGGACATGCCAGTGTATATTAGGGGTGTGCGCTCAGTATATACCGAGCTGAATAAATACTAGAAAAATACCTTATCAGTATTTTTCTGGTATTTATTCAGCTGAATCAGATTTTCTAATCTGATTCAGCTCCTGATCTAGTGGAGCCCGAATAAAAGCCAATATTATTCAGCTTTTATTTGGGCTCAACACTTGCCGAAGCGGTGTGAGTTCACCCACCTTCCGGGTGAGCTTGCGCCACTTCTGGGTTCCTTGTGTGCAGCTTGGCTTTGCAAAAGCCATTTAAAGAGAAAGTTCCTTTAAAATAGCTTTTGCAATGCCAAGCTGCCCGTGTTACTCTGGAGAAGTGTGGGGGGTCTTTAAATCCCCCCCCTTCCTGAGTTGTGCCACAGCAGCTGCATACCTCCACAGTTTGCCTTCCCTTCTCTTGTGGAGGCATGCTGCTCAGGTGGCATGACTCCAGAAAAGAAATGGGGACTCTTTAAATGTCTCTCCTTCTCAAGTCACAGTGCAGTGGTGGCACATCTCCACAAGCAAAGGGAAGGCAATTTGCTTTCATGGAATCATAGAACCATATATTTGGAAGGGACCTCCAGGGTCATATAGTCCAATCCCCTGCACAATGCAGGACATTCGCAAATACCGCCCCCTCCACACCCACAGTGACTACTGTTCCACGCCCAGAAGATGGCAAAAAACCCTCCAGGATCCCTGACCAAACTGGCATGGAGAAAAATTGCCTTCTGACCCCAAAGTGACAATCAGCATTTCACTGTGCATGTAAGAAAGGGCCACAAGCAGTGTTCCCTCTAAGCTGAGTTAATGTGAGCTAGCTCACAGTTTTTTAGGCTATGGCTCACACATTTTTCTCTTAGCTCAGGAAGGATGGCCCCAGAGCACACTAATTTATGCAGCAGCCAAATCACCTGCTCACAACTTTAATGCCGGTAGCTCACAAAGTAGAATTTTTGCTCACAAGACTCCACAGCTTAGAGGGAACACTGGCCACAAGAACTAAGCACTGATGCAACCATTCCTGCCCTCCCTCTCATGATCCGCCTAAGTTCACATAATCAGCATTGCTGTCAGATGGTTGAAAACCAGTGGCAGAATTGGTTGAAAACCAGTGAGGAACTGCTCTATCAGGAAGACCTTCCTAATATTTAGCCAAAAACTCTTCTGATTTAATTTCAACCTGTTGGTTCTGGTCCGACCTTCTGGGGCAACAGAAAACAACTCCACACCATCCTCTATATGACAGCCCTTCAAGTACTTAAAGATGGTTATCATATCACTTCTCAGTTGTCTCGTCTCCAGGCTAAACATACCCCACGCCTTCAACCTTTCCTCTTTGTTGCCCATTACCATCTTCGTTGTTCCAGCTTCTCTATATCTTTCTTAAATTGTGGTGCCCAAAACTGAACACAATACTCTAGGCGAAGTCTAATCATAGCAGAGTAAAGTGATACCATCACTTTGTGTGATCTGAACTCTATACTTCTGTTGATACAGCCCAAAATCACATTTGCCTTTTTAGGAAGCAAATCACACTGCTGACTCATGTTCATTGTATAGTCTACTAAGACCTCTAGGTCCTTGTTGCACATACTACTACCAAGTTTCCCCCAACCTATAATTTTGCATTTGATTGTTCCTACCTAAGTGCAGAACTTTACATTTATCCCCAGTGAAATTCATTTTATTTGTTTTAGCCCAGTTTTCCAGCCTGTCAAAATCATCCTGTATCCTGACTTTGGCTTCTACCGTATTTGCTACCCCTCCCAATTTAGTATTAGCTGCAAATTTAATAAGCATTCCCTCTATCCCTTCATCCAAATCATTGATAAAGATGTTGAACAAAACAGGTTCCAGGACAGATCTTTGAGGCACTCCACTTGTCACTCCTCTCCAAAAAGATGTGGAGCCATTCACAAGTACTCTTTGGGCGCAATCTGTCAACCAGTTACAGATCCACCTAACAGTCATAGGATCCAAACCACATTTTTCAATTTGTCAACAAGAATATTATGTGGAACCTTATCAAAAGACTTACTGATATCCAGATAAACTACATCTACAGCATTCCCCTAATCCAGCAACGTAGTAAATTTCTCAAAAACGAGATAAGTTTAGTCTGACATGACTTGTTCTTGAGAAAAAATGCTGGCTCTTAGTCATCACAGCCATCCTTTCTAAACGCTCAAGGACTGACTGATTATTTGTTCTAAAACTTTCTCAGGTATAGACATCAAGCGTATGGGTCGGTAGTTATCCGAATCCTCCTTTTCTCCCTTCTTGAAGATGGGGACATTTGCCCACCTCCAGTCTTCTGGCACCTCACCTGTTCTCCAAGAATTCTCAAAAATAATGGACAGAGGCTCAAAAATTACATCCACAATTTCTTTTAATACGCTTGGATGCAGTTCATCTGGCCCTGAGGACATTTCATTTAAAGAAACTAGGTGTTTATGTACTACCCCCTATGCCGATTCTAGGCTGCACCTCATCATATGTTCTGTTTTTTCCATGTTGAGCGCCATTTCCCTTGCAAGAGAAGACTGAGGAAAAGTAGGAACTGAGCAGTTCACCTCTTACAATTTCACTTTCCTGTCTCCGCAATGGGCCTACCATGTCTTTGCTCTTTTTCTTACTTTGAACATAAGAAAAGAATCTGTTTTTGTTGTTTTTAGCATATCTCGCTAGCCTAAGCTCATACTGAACTTTAGCTTTCCTAACTCTCTCTCTACAAGCACCGGTTATTTGTTTATGTTCATCCTTGGTTATAAGGCACTCGTTCTACTTTCTGAATGAGTCATTTTTATTTCTCAAATCTTTGAAAGCTGTTTATGGAGCCACCTTGGCTTCTTTAGGCTCCTCCCATTTTTCCTTCTCATAGGAATTGTTTGTGATTGTGCCTTCAGTATTTCACTTTTAAGAAACTCCCATCCCTCTTAAGCTCCCTTCTCCTTAAGTATTTCTGACCATGGGATTCCACCCAGCATAACTTTAAGTTTATCAAAATTTGCTTTCCTGAAGTCCAACCTATATGTCTGACTGTGTACAGCTTTTCCCTTCCCCAAGACTGTAAATTCCAAAATTACATGGTCACTACTACCCAGGGTGCCCACTACTTTCATCTCATCAACCAGTTCTTTCCTGTTGGTAAGAAGCAAGTCGATCATGGAGGTGTGCTGCCAAGGCGACACAACTCCAGAGAATGAGTTTTTAAAATCTTTAAATGCCTTTCTTCTTGAGATGCGGGAAGCCATTTCAGCCCTCCCTTTCCCCCCCCCTCTGGAGGAGGGGGAGTAAAACGGGTTTAAAGCCTTCCTCCCATTTAAACTGATCAGCTAAACTGTTTGGTTTAAATGGGAGGAAGCATCACGGCTTGAGGATCCAGTACCCATTATACCCTATGGGGAATGGTCCCTATAGGGTATAATGGAGCCGAATAAATTCAGCAATACTGATTATTTCCCAAATTCCAATACAATACTAATATTGGGATTCAGGAATATCAGTATATACCAATATTTTTCGAGTTTGGTATACCTGAACCCCAAAAAATCCAATTTTTTGTGTGCACACTCCTAGTGTATATGCATTCATCAAGTGCTAGAGTCTATTTGGGATAATTACTCATTTTTACACACACATGTGCTTTTCCTTGTTCAAAATGTATTCTAGTTGCTCTGATAGAACTATTGAAAGACTAGTTAGGACAAATCTGCAGACAAATCCAAAATGCTTAGAGAACTGTGTGCTTCTTTCTGATAATTACAACATATATGGAGACCAGAATGAATTGGACCTTATGTTTTAGTCACATAGCCCTAACATGGATGTAATAGGACACTATTTGTAGCAAAGCTGAGCTTGCATCTAAGAATCTGACATTTTAAAGTTGCTTAAAGGTAAAGGTTCCCTTGTTCAAAAGCCAGTCGAATCCGACTCTAAGGTTGCGGTGCTCATCTCCATTTCAAAGCCGAAGAGCCAGCGCTGTCCGAAGACGTCATTACTTAAAAAAAGAATCCAGAATTTAATATCTGTTCAGCTATTAGAACAAAGTTTGAGTGCAGTGGCACCTTTAAGACCAAAAAAGTTTAATTCTAGCCGGTATAAACTCACATGTGTATGTTGGTCTTAAAGGTGCCACTGGACTCAAACTTCATTCTGTTGCGTCAGACAACACGGCTACCCACCTGAATCTATGTTCAGCTATTAGTTACTGTATTGGGGGGGGGGAAATCTGTGAAACACTCGTAGAAATAATTGTGGTTTTTTTTGTCACCACAGACGAACCAAACTCCTGGAGTTCTCCCTCTGCCACCTCCCCAGGTCTGCCGGAAGTAACTATTTCCCTCGATGACATTGTCTCACCATTTTCTTCATCACATCTAGTCCACTCCTCTGACCCTTCCCACCAGATGCACCCAGAATCAACATGGGATATCAAGAGGGAACCTGAAGTCAGAAAACCAAAGGAGCTTTCAGCAGACAGCCACAAAAAGAAAAGGTTAGGGGAGCAAACGGAGAGATCTGTGAACCCAAAAAAGGTAGACAGGTCAAAACATGAAGAGGCTTCCAGGAAAGGAAGCTCAGAAAACCAGAGTATGACTGGTGAAAGCAGCAGGCTGGCCTTGGAAAGTAAGATAGTGGAAAGGAACACAACAGCTGAGGCCGGAGAACGAGATCTTGGGTATGCTGGAACCAATGCCGAGCTGGCTGGGAGAGCCAAGTGGCTGGAAAGCAAAAGAGGAGACTCTCTCAGCACAAAAGATCACAGTGTCACAGTTGCCACAGAGAAGAAATCAGCTGCAGCTCCTGAACACGTCAAGCTTGATTCGACTGGTGCTACAAAGACGTACAGTAGCAATAGCTGCAGCTCTCACGGAAGCGACACAGACCACAGTCAGATGGAATCCGACAGAAAGCCCAGTGAGTTCCCACGGAAGGGACACCTCCACTCCATTAACACACGCAGCACCAACACAACAGCCCGAAAGGCAACTGTCTCACCAGGACCATGGAAGATTCCTGGCTCCAGTAAGCTTCCTGATGTCCTAAAATCTAGCACGTCAGCCATGAGCCGATAGATCCGTGACTGTTGCCCTCAGTTCTGCAGTGATGCAGAACATTCTCCTTTGCTTCTGTTTCACGTTTGTTAATTTAATTTATTTAACTACCACACACAACCATTGCTGAAAACATTGAGAAGCAGGAACAATAATGTGTAATTCCATGACAACGCGCATAGCGTCTAATCAGTTGAAGCAACGTGTAGTTACACAGTATTTAAATGTGACCCTTAAATCCCCAGTTTCATTTTAGAGACTTTGGCAGCTATGGAAGAAACCAAAATAATATGAAGGACAGACAAACCACAAAGATGGTGCAGTGTAGCTTTAGTAGGTTGTTTGTCATTGCATGAAGGACTTGGGGTTTTCATTCAGACTTTATATCAAGAAACTGGAAGAAGTTTTAGCAATCACAAACTGGAACATCGCCTTAAATAAAAACTCCACAGAGCAAAGCTGAAAGAGGAAGAGAATCTTTTATTCTGAGTTAAATGTTGTAAATAAAATTGTTCTCAACATATCCAGACAGGGATTTGATGCATTTGAAATTGTACATCCATGACATGTCTCCACTGTTAACACTTTGGAATGGGCCACCCTCAAGCTGGTAGTAGAAGTCATGATGCAAGGTGAGGAATCCTACCGGATTAGCTGGTGTGATACCATTTCTACTGCCTTTTTTTGTGTGTGTGTGAACAAACCATATTTCTGTATGTTGGGGGGAAAGTTAGGGTGGAAGCGTAGTTGCAAATCTAGCTTCAAAAGCAATTTACCACAGGTGTCTCCCATTCCCACACAGGGAATCCCACAAACCACACAAAGTGTCAGCTACTCACAATGAGAACTGTAATGGGCCATTGCCACTATGAGGAAGGAACAATGCCTGAAAAATTGCAGTCCTTTCAGAACAATCTCTCTCTCCAGCAGGCACTAAAAATTGTCTCAGCTTTAGTTCAACCTTCTTTTAATAAGAATGTATCTTTGAGTTCTCCTTCTCAATCACATTCTAAGAATTCCAAGATACAGAGCCCTTTAAAAAATTATCATGTATTCATCCGACTGTCTTCCTGCCATATTTCTAGTTATATCTTAACTAGCATTTAATGTTCAAATCTTGTGCCATGAGAACATTTCATTCCATGCTGATGAGGTACAGTTTCTCCAATGAGCTCCATTACTCGTGTCCTTGTCCCTGAGAGGTTTGCTATTTTTCTAGCCGCATCCACAGAAATAAACCAAATAATTTATTTTTAAAAAAACTCAATAATTGTTTCAAAGTAACAAACTGTTAACACTTGCAAAAATGCATTTGGGCAACCTCTCAAGAGACCTGGAAATACATTGCTCAGTGACTGGCCAAAATCTAGTTGCTGTTGAAGAACAATGGAAGTTTTGATTTGGAGAAGTGTGTGAGGAGGTGGTGGAATGCTATCCATTAAGATGAAGTTTGGTATAAGAAATCTGCATCGTCAGTCCTCACCAACCATTTATTAGAGAGAGCTACTGAAATTTTATTTTATTTTATATCTGCATCGTTAGTCCTCACCAACCATTTATTAGAGAGAGCTACTGAAATTTTATTTTTCCTCCGGGAGATATAGTGACTTCCTTCAATCAGAGTTAGTTGAAAAAGATTACAGAAAGGGTTTTGCACCTTTGAAACAAAATGCTTATTTTAAGAGGTAGTCCCATTGTAATTTTTTAAAGAAAGCACAAAGATAGGTAGCTGTTTACAAAAGACATTATATATATAGTTTTTAATTAAAAATTATAGATATATCTTTATCCCCTGCCCTAGACATTTGGCATAATTTGCTGTTAATTTATTAAATCTCAATTTTTGGACACTATTCCCCTACTATAAATACATGTCCAATTACGTTATTTCATAGATATAAAGAACAGAAAACAATTGAGATTATGCCTGTATAAACTCCAATTTGCACAGTTCCCAGCGACTCCTTGTGCAGTAATTGCTTTCTGCGGCTGTAATTGATACCCCGTGAAGACGGCACATCATCTAAATCCCATTCCAGATAATATTTCTGTGTAGTGTTAGCTGTGAATTTACCTTGTACAGCTCTATTGCTATAAATATAATTCCATGTATTAATAGTCACAGAAAGGCTGTAAGTGAGCAACTATTTTTATGAAACGCACCACTATGGATAAATTAACTTTTACAGAAATCTTGTTTACTGTATGATATTCTAAACCACTCAAATAAAATATATATCCAATAATCTTTTTTCCCAACTGTTTATGCTGTGTAATTAATTATGGAGGGGGGTATCTACCAGAAGAATATTTGGTTCATACACAGTGGTAGTGAAGGAGGAATGCATAATTTCACTGCAGAAAGAATGTTATTTTTGCCCAAGTACATATATAACAAAAAACAGGCAGCTAAAACACACCAATTCAAAAAGGCTAGAAACAAGTTGCCATCTCATCTGTTCACTCCTCCTGCTCCTGGTCACAACTTGGAGAGTCACACTAGCTAGAAAGATAGCTTTGCTTTCAGTTGCAGTCCGCCCAAATGTCCAGACTGGTAAATTATGTTGTGCACTTACTAGGGTTGTCTGCTCTGTTTAACTGTGTGTCCTTCAGCTCAGAAGTAAGTGGGGTTCTGGGAGGGTGCCAGGGGATAAATGAAGGCCCAATTTCACTCAGCCTGATATCTGTTTCTAGTAATTAACGGCAACCTATTTGGTGGTGATTTGCATAAGTGAAAGAATGCATGCCTCTACATATGTGCAGAATGCCTTTTACTCATCTGTCAAGCTGCTGTCCTCATCTCCTCCCAAATCTGGCATTAAGGCTAAAGGACTTGAAAAGGTATAATGTTCAGGCATGTTTCAACGCCAGCCTTTTTGCTGCTGAAAAATAAGTACTTCCCTGCAGGAGGCCAAAGGGCCTGAGACGATCTAATATCCAGGCAGTCTTCAACCTCTCACTGCAGACAAATAAGATTTTTGGGAGCATCTTAAACAAATTTGAACCAAGAATAATAATCTCTCATTCGAGTGCCAAGAGTGCAAACACTTATTTCCCCCTCATTTAGGGCTTCATGGTGTTCCACTATAGCCTAGCAGCCCCCAAGGCCCCTCCCCCAACTTATTGGGGCTAGGGAAATGCTGGATGGCGCATCAATCCAAAAACATGCTGACACTGCCAGTACAAACGACAGAATTCTAGAGTGTTGCACCAATGCAATGACATCACTTCTAGGCTCATGCTGGAAGTGGTGCCATGCTGTCGGAGCAATGACAGTTTACAGGTACCTAAGGCTCCTGCCCATTGCCTGTGCTTGGCTGTTTCTGTGGCAACCTACCCTTGCTACACAGCAAGGACATGCTTACCTGCTATTACAGGATAACTTCCCGATTAGAAGGAGTGAATTACAGGTAGGTGTAATTCAGGAATCTCCCTTTTTATCATCACCATCATCTAAATTTATGAATAGCTCTGGGCAATGTACAACAATAGATAAAAATATAAAACCATACAAATCAAATGCATAAACAATACTAGTATTACAGATTTAAAAGAATCTAGATGGCGAGCTACACATTACTTTGCTTTCCAGACTGTTCAGCCACCTTGTGGGCAGGGGAAGAGGAGGGACAGAACTAGTCTGGTGGGCAAGGAGAGGGTGCTGGCCAGAGTGAAAATCGTTGCTGTCTTCAGCCAAAAGCCTAGGGCAGAGGTGTCAAACTCATTTGTTACAAGGGCCAGGTCTGACATAAATATCACTTTGTTGGGCCAGGCCATATGTGCCATAAAATGTAACACAAGGTACCGGAGGTATAAACTTTATCAGGATGATTTCAGATGCCAAATGGCAATGGCAGGTGTGATTGGATTAGGTGTGATATGCAGAGGGGTGGAGATATCAGCATTGGTAATGAGACAGGAAACCTAGGTATCAATTTCTAAGGTTTTTACTGGCTCATAACCAGCTAGGATAGTATCGGGAATTTTTCTATTTGTCTTTTAAATAGTTATGTACTGGTCGAAGACTGTAATAATAATAAACTAAAGTAGGTCTCAGTTTGGTACAGGAGGATTCAGTCCAGGAGGATGCAAAGAATAAATGGAAATAAGTCTGAAGATGTGAGCAGTGTCTCACAAAAGTACATACCCTGCCACAATTTTGTTAGTCGGTAAAAATGCTTCTGGACTCTTACTCTTTCTACCACTATAAGAAACCAGAACATTCAAAAACCAGTGAGGGAACATTTTAACCTTCCAAGGTATTCAGTTGCTGACCTAAGAGTAGCAGTTCATCATGGCTTCTGTGCAGTCCCACATGGGACTGGGCAGGCCAGCCAACGGAGAGGAATTAGCAAGTTTCTTAAGAATTTTCTAGACTCTCTTGAGTGCTGGCTCCCTCTCCTCCTCACAGTGTCGTCCTGCCTAGCAATCACGTGATGTGGGAGGGGCCAGCACTCCTCCCTCAGTTCTCTTTTTGCTGCCGGTTTGAGAGGACTGGTTAGCAGATTGCTTCTTCTTGGACGTCCTGTCACAATTAACTTCTGAGGTGAAATCCACGACATTTTACTTATTATGGCACTCTTTAAAAAGTGCTCCCAGTGTGGAACGAAGATGGCACAAGCGGACGATCATTCGTCCTGTCTCTTCTGCCTGGGTGAGGGGCACAATACCTCAACTTGCCAAACCTGTCATCGCTTAACCCCTAAGACGAGGGAGGGAAGGGTGGCCTGACTTAAAGCAGCCCTATGGGAAAGAGCCTTGCAAGGGCCATTAGGAGGACCAGAAGATGAGCCTTCCCTCCCTGAGAAGCCTCCTGCAGACAACTCCATGCCCCTGCTCAAGCCTCTGCCTGATGGAGCCTCTGAGAAAAAAGGCTAAAAAGACCAAGCGCTTGCCTTGCACGTCTCTGAGTTCCTCCCGCTCTCTGTGTTATGTACGTGGACCGCCACTAGGGGTCCGCGGCACATGCAGGAGCTTGGCTCCTGGATCAAATAAAACTTTGGATCCTGGTTTCCCCCAGCCCCAACCAATAGTCACTTTGGCGGGACATTCAAACCCTCCAATGGGAATAGGGGGTGCTGGGTGGATATGTATATAGTTGGCCCTGTCGTGCCATTAGAGTTAGTCTTAGTTGGAGTGAAGTACAATAAACGCGTGCAAAGG